AAAAAAAATGAAATTCTCTGTGCTTCACTTCTGTGTCAAATTCTTTTTCCATGGTTGGGAAGTTTTTTCCATTACTTCTGTGAACTGGTTTTTTGTTATTTGTGCTATTGTTTGCTATTTTAATGACTGATCTATTTTATATTATTCTTTTTTGCATCATCTAGCATTTTTTATTTTTACAGATACCCAGGAGATTAAAGATTTTATTGAAAGTATACACAGCAGAATAACCCAGTGTGAGGATAGAATACTGTACTTTTACATGGCTCCCTGGTATTTTTCAGGAAATCTGATTTGCTTTATTCCTTCCAATGTAGCATTGCAGAGAGTTTAGGTGGCTGACTTTTGAATTTTGCTGCCTCATTCCCACCCTGGGTTTGCATTGTGTGAGCTGGAAATCTAGGGTTGCAGCTTGTTTTTGTATCTTCTCATTTTCTTTCTGTCTGGCTCTTTTTTTTTTTTTTTTTTTTAGTTAACTTTCTGCATCAATGCTTGTAAATTGCTTATGGTAGGCAGCTTCCTTGCTGGTACTGAGAACTCCTTAGGGAATGACTACTTTTTAGAGATGTCTTCTACATGTAGTTGGCTTTCGGCTTTTGAATCTGTTGCAAGATCCTACCTCTTCAATTTCTTTTGGGGATGAGAAGTTACTGCTTGTTTGGCCCAGCCCCTGGCTCTTTGGCACCTACCTGTAATACTGTTTATGGTCCTCAAACAGTCTTGGTCCTGGCATACAAGGAAGAAAAACTGATTGGAACAACTATGTGACCTTGGCCAATGCAACAGCATCAAGCACAGTTTAGAAAATGACAAACTGTGGTAACTATTAATTTGCCACCTTTAGCCATATGAATAAGATTTGTAGTAATACAACAAAATGTAAAACAAACATAAAACCCGAATAAACAATGAGGGGAAGAAAAAAGCAAAGAAGAAGGAAAAGCATGTCCACTTCAGGGCCTGTCTCTTCTGTCACTGGTAGACACACAGAGCCCAGATCCGTGCTGATTAACTCCAGCAAGCTTGCAGTAGAATTATGGCAGGATGGTGGATAATCCTGCAAACCTGTGCTTTCAGCTCCATTGAGGTTCAGGCTGATTCTGGGTTTTGGCTGTGAGGCTGGGACCTGAGTTACTCAGTCCTCAATACTCTGGGTGCCTGTTGCTGGCTTTAACTTGGCTCCCTGACCCTGGCTGTCTTCCATGGCTGCACCTCACCCTGACACTGGGAGCCAATAGATGAAGTGAGTCCACAGTGGCTGTGGTGCAGGTGCAGCTGGTTTCTTTCCAGAGTGGCAGCGAACTAATCGGGGTCTCCTGAGGATATCTGAACTGGAGCTACTCACCAGCCTCTGACCCTGCAGCATCCACTGCTCCTTTCTGCTGGTGCAGAAGCATCCGGGTGGCTGATGGTCCCTGTGTCTCTGTAGGTTCAAGCCACCTCTCATGCTGCAGGCTAGGATTCAGGGAAAAAGTGCTTTTGCCAACTCCTTCTTTTGCAGTAAAGTCCTCTTTGCTCTCCCTTGTGGGCTCCAGTTGTTGCTTCAGATCCGAGGGATCCACCCTGCTCCTTCTCTTCCCCATGTTGGTATATTTCAGGCTCTGGACTCCAAATTTCACAGTAGCTGCTGTGCTGCTGCTCTCCACTCCACCAGCTTTCTAGAAGTCCAGTTAATTTGTGTATTGTGAAGATGTTCAATCTTATGAATTTGAGCTATCTGTATTTATTTTTGTGTTTTGTTTTTTCCTTGCCATGTTTGAGATTGGACCAAAGGACTCATATATGCAAGGAAAGTGCTCTACCACTCAGCTACTTCCTGGCCTTTATTAGTACTTCATTTGTCTCTATTTTCTTCCTACGTAAGCATATGTAACTGAACCCATTGTTGCTTACTTTGTTTTTATTTTTATTTTTTAATGCTGTGTTGGGGATCAAACCCAGGACTTGGCACATGCCAGGAGCAAACCCTCCTCCAGTGGTAATGTTTTAAAAAAATTGTTTTCTTAAATCAATTAAGAAAAAGAAAAATAAACTTTTATTTTACCTTCACTTATTTCTACTATGATGCTTTTCCTTTCATTATGTAAATATGAGTTACTGACTTATAAAATTTTCTTCTTTGAGAAGTTTCTCCTGATATTTCTTATAGGGCACTTGTACTGGCAAAAAATTTTAGATTTTTTTTTTTTTTTTTGTATTTGACAAAAACTTTGTTCATCCTTCTTTTTTGGAGGATTTTATTATAGTATCCAGAATTCTGGCTTGGTGATTTCTTTCCTCAGCACCTCAGCACAGCATCATGTGTTACTTAAAGATGGAAACAACTGCTCTGGGAGCTGAGTCATGGGCAGTTTTGTCGTTGTGTGCACACACTGTGTACAGTCGTGAATCTGTGGTGTCGCTGCTCCATATCTAGGTGGTACTGCCTTTTGCCTCTGGGCCCAGGGTGAACTGAACAGTTAGTTTAAATCAGGCTCAGCAGAAGGATGCCCTTGGGAGACAGTAAAGACAGAACAGTTGCGGATGCTGCCGGCATAACATGGCATCCTGTCCTATAGTAAATTTTTTTGTTAGTAGGAATACAGCCTAAAATGATAATTAACAGAAGAATAAGTGTGTAGACCAGTAGCAGTAGAGTGGTTGTCACCCTTAGCGAGGATTTTGTACGGTACTTGCTTGTGTGCCATGCTTCCATGTGACCGGCAATACGGCGGGTTTGTTCACACTGGTACCAGCACAGATCTCGAGCCAGAGGTCGATACCAGGATGGCTACAAAATCCCTGCGTGTAGGGACCCTGCAGTAGACCAGCAGAATTCTTACATTGTTATTAGAGGTGTTTATTTTCCTCTCCTCTCAGGATTTTTATTTATCTTCCATTATCTTCAGTTTGAAAATTGTATATTCTGGTTGATATTGTTGGCATTCATTTTTCTTGACTTTTTCCTATTTTTCTGGGTCTGTGGGTTAATGTTTGACATTAATTTGAGGGAATTATCAACCGTTGTTGTTTTGCATTTTCTTTTCCTCTTGGAATTCTCATTGTATTATACCCTTTGTAATTGTCCCCTAGTTCTTGGATCTGTTCTTTTTTCCTCTGTCGTCTAGTGTTGGTGGTTTCTTTTGTGACATCCTGAAGCTCAGAGTCAGCACTTAGCCAGAGACCCTGTCCCCTTCCACATAGACCGCTCCAGCCACCATCTGCTGCCTCTGGGCTTCTGCGCCCTGGTGCCTTCGCGGTGCTCCCCGCGGAGGTTTGTACCTGTGGATTTCTGCTCAGGCAAGCCAGGGTTCTCCACATTCTCTTATGTTTCTCCAGTTTTAGGGACACTAAGTAATGTTAGCTCTTCTCTAATAGATCTGAGGAGAGTTTTTAAAATTTTTATTTTTTTCAGTTTCTTTAGGGTTTTACTTTTTAGGATTGAGTGAATGTTTTCGGCTTCTTAACATGCTGTGTTGCAAAGTAGAATACCTATTATTAAATTATTTTTCTGATTTCATTTTTGGTTGTGTTACTATATAATTGCCATGCAAGCTTTGCTGCAGTTTTTGTGTGGATTATTTGGGGTCTCCCCCTTTCCTCCAGACCCTGTCAGTTCTGGCAATGAGATACTGTTGCACCATTTGTAGCATGTAAAACATTTTGAATTGTGTATTTCAATGTTGTTAATGTTTGTTTTTCCCTTTTAGAGGACCAAGCACCGTGATGCATACTCAATATATTTGAATAAATGCATCAAGTTTTAGCTGCTTAATTTTCTTCATGAGGAACTGAAGTTGAGCAGGGTGGCATAGTGGTGGCGATGTGGAGTTGATTGCTGCTTACTGTCTGACGGCACTGAACCTCTGAAGTCTCAGGGTCCTTGTCTGTTAACTGATGATAAGTGTGGTGCCTGTCCCTTGGTCACGGGGGTTATGTGAGTTAATCCACCTCAGGCTCTTAGGCATTAACATGCTCAGTTAGAGGTGGCTATTGCCATCTATTCAAGGTCATGCAGAGCCTGCCATAGGTAGACGTTGTGTATTGTGTTGTTCTGCACACTGAAATCACTTGGGATTCTTGAAGATCTTGTGAGCTGAAATCATCTTTGTACTTTCCTTAAAAATATGTCTGTCCAGTTTCTTGGACAGGAGAGGTGTACATTTCACTGTCTTCTGTTTAACTCTACATGTAAGGACTATTCTCAGCCTGGAGAAAGGCAGTTCAATTATGTGGAGAAAATTGTGCTTAACTTAGGGCAGGAAGCTTTAAAGATTGTATTGAACTTTGAATATCCACTTAAGGTCTTTGAATTCAGATATTGAGAAATAAGTAATTAAAGGATTTTAAGGAAATATGAATTCTATATGTAGGTTTGGTGTTTAGAAAATTGATGTGAGTCCTTTGATTGGTATGATGCTCTCTGATAAAATTTAGGGGAGGAAGGCAGGAGGCCTGGGTTTAGTGCAAGACATAGTAAACTTTGTTTTCTGTGGATTGTGTTAGAGTTGCTTGTGTGCTCTCACTGTGAAGGTGCCCTCAGTTTAAGTGTGGGACAGAAGTCAGGAGAGAAACCGGGATGTGAGTGCTGACAACTGCGAGGTGCCGCAGAGGAAGAGGTGAATGAGCTGTGGCAGCTGGCATCCTCGCAGAAAGCAGCTCAGATGATCCCAGCATGCCACTAGCTTTTGTCAGTGATCACCTCTTTATGCCTGAAGATGACAAACGCAGACTTTAAGTAGTATCCTGGGATTCCAGATTTTTACCAGTTAGTGTGGCCCTCCCCCAGGTAGTCTGATTTAGTGTTGCAAAATTTATGAATGTACTGTGGTTTAAAGAAAAAGGCTTGTTTTGAAAAGGAAGTTAAGCATGAAAATAAGGATAGAGCACAGGCCAGGAATTTGAAGGAGGTGGTGGATTTGTTAAGGCCAGTGTTGGTTAGACATGTTAGAGTCTCAGGTTTTGGAATACTGCGCTAACTCTTGTGTCTTGTTTTGCACTCCCACCCCTTCTTTAACTAGGAATCCTGGTGCTTGGAATCAACAGAGCTTATGCCAAAAATTCACTCAGTAAAAATCTTGTAAAAACGGTGAGTGTGAACATTAAAATGTTTATTTCTAATATTAAGATCTAATGTAAATATCACTAGTCTAAAAATAATTTTTTTTCTTTTTCCTCCTTACTCTCCCTGTTTTGGTTTAGTTATCAAAAACTGTGGATGCTTTAAAATCTGATAAGAAAGTTCGGACCATAATAATTAGGAGTGAAGTCCCAGGGATATTCTGTGCTGGTATGTAAGTGAATTTTATTATGAAATAATAGCCAGTTTTTCTCGTATTATGAAATTATGTTAAAGTCTGTTTTCCTAAAATGTCCTGTGGTTTGAGCTTCATTGCCAGCAAGCAACTTCTTTTTGTCTGTTTTTTTTACTGTTTTACAAGAAAAAGTACTTATAAAGAAAAATTTGTAATGTGAGTTGTTTTAGAAGTTGAAACATAATTTGAGCTCTGGAAATATTTGTGGCACATGAGTAGTATTTATGAAACATCTGTTGGGAAGGGAAAGTCCAGTTGCCTGTCCCAGAATTATGCTGTGTACTTTCAGTGGTGTAAACAGTACTCTTAACTGACCAGCATGCCTGCCACGTCCCAAAGCATTCATTGTGGAGTTTGCTTTGGAAATTGGTGGTTACATCAGCACCCACCTGGGTGTGTGCCTGTGGTTGTACAGTGTTTCCAGGTTGGTATTCACGGCAGCAAAAGCTGTATGTTTTTCTGTTGTTGCATTACCAATGCTAAAGATTAATGTAGCTTGCATTTTACTTATTTCTTACTATTTCTAAGTTATTCAGTGAATCTGTTTCAATTAGTAAGAAATGCAGGTGATCAAGATGAGAAAGGCCTGTAATTTGTGGTGCCTTATAATTTACCAGGAAGCAAATAAAGGTAGAATTTAAAGCATAAAGTACACTTTTTCAGTCAACCATAGGTGGAATTATCCCCTCGAAGTAGTCTGATATTTAGGGAAACCACCACCCTGTTCTGTTGATTAAGCAAGTGTTTACTGCATATGAAGAATACATACCTGGAACAGTTCTGAGAATGTGAGAGAATATTTGGAGACAGATGTTTTTAGAGGTGTCTTAATTGTGGTTGATGTCCTTTAGTGTGCTCCGTCTTTTTAAACTTCAGTGTTTTACCTTAAAACATGGTAGATTTATGAACACTTAGGAGTAATAGCACAAGTGGGTTATATTTTGGCTTTGGTAGGGTTTTTTTTTTTTGCTTTTTTCAAATGTAGTGTAACATACTTAAAAGGGTTAGATTCAACTCCTGATGGCATCAGTGCACTCCTGTGCTTGGACTGTGGTGGTTGACATTCCAGACCTCTGCCTTCCCATCTGTCAAGGGCCATTCTGCTGCCTATTAGGGGTGTTAAGAGATTTCACTGTGACAGTGTCAGGAAAGTACAGTGCACTAGAATGGGCCCTTGGTCTCTTATGTGACATGATGTGGTGCTTGCATGGAGCTTATCCACATCTTCTCATAAACTTTAAATTGTGTCTGGAGTACTTGCAATACCCAGTGCAATGTAAACGCTATAGAAATAGTTTTATATACTACATTGTTTATGGAACACTAACAAGAAAAATGTTTGCACCTGTTCAATATAGATCTCCCCCCCCCCCTGCCATTTTTCTCTTTGTGGGTGGTTAATTAAGAAGATGTGGAATCCGGAGATTCAGGGCCAATAGTAGTAAATACATGATAACTCTGTGGTTCTTATTAAAGGTTTTACACACATTTCAAGTTCTTTTTTTCTTAAACAATATGGGGAACTTATCCCAAGAGGATTATGATTCTTATTTCTGTAACTTTTAGAATAGAAACTTTTAGACCAGTTGAGCATGGTCTCGAGGTAAATTGTTCTCACACCATGATTGGTGGCTTTGCAGTCTTCTTGGGACGATAGAGCAGCTAGCTAGGAAGCTGTGATGTGTTTCAGGGATTTTAACAAGGGCTGAGCGCGTGAATCTTTGAGGAGTGGCAGTGATACTGTGAAGGCAAGACGGCACTGTTGGCATTCACTTAGTGTTTGTCCTTGCAGAGCAGTAGGTTTGGTAATTACCACACTATAATTACTGATAGAAGTCTTTTTACTTTACCCTTTCTTTGGCTTCCATTTATTTATTCTGCTTCTCTGCACAAATGATACTATTTAGAAAGGGTTTTAGTGATTTCTTGCAGTGTGTAGCTGTCTGTTGCTGGTACCTGTTAAGGGACATATTAAATAATATACAAAGCACTGTTTTATCAGATGAGCAAGTTAGCCTTGAATACTTTTCAATTTAATCTGTCTTTATGTACTTCTAATTTTTCATGTGATCAGGATAATCTTTAATAGTTCAACTCACAAGATTTGTTATTGTATCCTGTTAAAGTCAGTATTTTAATTTAGGAAAATAGGTGCAAATAAGTTATTTTAGTAATTCACTCTGTCATTTGGGACTATTGTTTCAGATTTCTGTGAAAGGGTTTCTCTGCCTGGATTTTAAATAGACAATCTAGTAAGTGTATCTGTATTTATTTGTATGATTCTAGGTCAATAAAATTTTTTTACCTAGTTAAAAGAATACTTAAATTTATCATGGCCTAAAGTGACATAAATATCTAATGTTTAATCACACTATTTTCATTAGTTACTATTAAAGAATGGAGTCTTTCATGTGATGTCTTGGTTACTTTTCTGTTGTTGCTGGGACAACACACCTGACACACAAAGTTAAAGGACAAAGGTTTACTTAGCTCATAGTTAGCAGCGGGTTAGCTCATAGTTAGCAAGAAAGATTCTTACAATCTGTAGTCGGCTGGCTCCAGGGCAGGGTGGCAGAGCAGACAAGCTTTGCAGAGGAGAATCAGTTCATGGTGGGCAGAAGATAGCGAAGCAAACAAGGGGTGACTACAGCAATTTTTACCCTCATTTCTTATCCAGGCTACTCAGGGCAGTAGCACTTGCACCCTTCATCCTAGTGCCCTTGATCCTAGCAGTGCACCATGAATCGGTTCCAGTGTCACACAGTCTGCCTCTGAAAAAGCCCTGCCTACGCCTGCGTGAGGCTTTGGGGGACATCTAGACACAGCCATAACATGTAATAAAACCTTTTTGACAATCTTGGGTATTGCCAGGCTTTTGCTCCCCGCCCTATTCCCAGCACCTGTTTTGTTGACTTACGTCCTTTGAGATAGGGTCTCACTGAAGTTGCTGGTTTGCCCAGGATGATCTTGCACTTGCTACAGCCTCCCAGAATGCCAGAATTAACAGATGTGCCCTGCTGTAGCTGCCTCACATAATGAAATCTTTAATTTTCCTTCTGAAGTAGCAGTAATAGTAAAAAACCAACACACACACACACACACACACACTGCTCAGCAACAGTGGACCTGTTCACTGGTTATTCTTTTGAAGCCTCCCATCTCCCCCAAATCACTCATTTTCCTTTTTCACCTCCCCAAAGGTTTCTCTTCCCTGTTTATCGATTCTAATGGTACCTTGTTCATTTCTTAAAACTTAAGGCTTATAAAGTGATCTTGCCCCAAATTCCTTGAGCAGAGGAACTTATTCTTTGTCCTTTATTGTATTCTCAGAACACAGCATTATAATAAGACACTCAATCATGTGTTTGCTGAAATTAATTAGTATTTAAACAGTACTTCAGTTCACTGATGCTTGTTTAGGAGTGTTGGTATATGTTTAAGATGATCCTCTGAATTATCCCAGACCACCATTGTTTTAGAGTATTCTGACTGCTGACTTTATTTTCCCTATACCCTTTAAAGTGCTAGGAAAACAGGTACTAATATTAAGGACTATTAAGGAGAGCCTTACATTGTATTGGACCAGGCGTTTTCTGACTTCTGATAACTGTTTCATCTACATTAATCAAGTTTTACTTAAACTAGTATTAGTAAGTTAAAAAGTCTGCAAAAGAGTACACAGAGAAATCTTGCTATTCCTTTCATCCCCTAATAAAAATAATAATTTTATCATTTGTCTCCCCTAACACTTCATTATAGTAATAAGTAATCATTGTACAAATATATGCATGCACTCATTAGAATGTTAAGCAGCTAACAGGATACATATAAAGAAAGATTCTTACAGTCTGGCACGTACATAAGAGAGTTACAGCACATTATGCCCAGTATTATTATAGCTGTGTGAGCTGTGCAAGTTAGATCACAGATCAGAGGTGATATTTTCTCTATCTTGAGACTTTCTGAAATCTGAATTTCATTATATTGACAAATTATATTGAGCAAATATATATGTAGCAAATAATTTTTTAAAACTTATAAAGTGTATTAGTATATTTTTTTGTTTTGATAAATTGTGTCACATTTCTGAGTTGTTAAAACATTTGAGAAGAAAAGTTTTAGACTACAAAGAGATTTCATAGAATAATTTCTGTTCTTTCATTTACAGACTCCCCAGGAGGTAAAAGGCTGGTTAAGCCAGTGGCTTAGTTGGAACTATTTGACTCCCAGGGCAGGGTCAAAGCAGGAGTGGGAGCAAACCCTTGGCCTGGTGCATACTAAGCAGGCATTCTACCATTGAGCTACCTATCCCCAGGCAGGGCTTTCTGTACGGTATTGAGGTTTTTAATCTAAGACCTAAAAGGAATATGAAGTCTTTCTCTTTCTCTTTGGGCTGTTTTTGTCTTTTTGAGACAGTTTCACTATGCAGTTCAGGCTGGTCCTGAAATCACTATGTAGCCTAGGCTGGCCTCGAACTTGCAGCAATCATCTTGCTTTAGCCTCTCGAATACTGGTCTCTGAAGTCTCCTTAAGTTCTTATAATTCATGCATTTACACATCTTAGCAGCTCTGTTGGTTGGAAGTCACTGTTGTGTATCTTTCTTGTAGATTAGAAACCTGTCTCTGGGCTCACGGCATGCCTGTGCATCTTAGAATATTGGGAAACATATTTTGATAGCCAGAGCTTCTTGTGAAGCATCAGTTATACTGATTATATTAGTGATTGACCTGAATGTGTGGTGCTTTCCCTGCCGCATGTTTTAGAAATTGTTTATTCATTTTTAATATTTTTTGTTTCTTACACCTGAAAGCTAAAATAATTCTGTTTCAAAACGTTCGCTCAAAAAATTTTATTGTTGTCTATAATAGTTATGAAAAAGTTCTTTTGAATTAGCCAGAATCTGCTGCATTAGCCACAAACTTGCAATCATAGTCATCTGTTCATTATTTTTACAAGTATTCTAATAGTAAATCG